AATGTTTTTAGGAAATGAAAAAAGAAAACAAACACTAATAGAATGACTCGAGGACAGCTGAAGCTGTCTGTGTGCATGACACTCTTCTCTTCCTTCCCCCTGGAGTTCATGGTGGATGCTAGAGGTCTAGGCACTCGCACACAGAAATACTTTGCAGTTATTACCAGGGAAAATGCTGGTGTCTAATCATATAGCTTTCTCACAGAACGTCTCATGCAGGGAGAACTCCCATACTCTTGGCTTCATTCTCCCTTCTAATACAGTAATATCGTATACATCTTATACAATAATATCCCACTTTCTGAAACTTGGCTATTTGAGCACTTTTTTAGGAGAAAAAAGCAAGAGACTCCAAGTAATGAAAAATAGGAGACACAAAGTCCAAATCTTTCCCGGCCCCAGTTCAGAACTTCTTTTGCTCACCATTTTGACAAACTTACTTATTTTGAATGGTTAGAGGGAGAGGAAGGTTAGAGGTAGTTTTTAGACAACAGGAAGTGACAGCAGAAAGAAAAAGATATAGGAAATAAAAAAAAAAAAAGCAAGACCATAAAAGGAGAGTGGTGTAGAGCACTTGGAACAGAAGAAACACTCCAACACTCCTTTTATCTCAGTATGTCCCCGAGGGTTCACTATACTACAGTAATCTGTATATATAAGTGATGAATCTTTAGGTATAATGGTAGCAAAGTTTGTGGTTTAAAACATATTAATTTTTAAAATAAAAATTAAACCTCACGATTTTCAAGACCTACACTCTCAACTATGCAAGAAACACCACCAACTAGAATGTCTTAGTTTAGGTGGTTGTAGATGCCCACGGTTTTCCGGCAATGGGGAGTCAAAAGTACTTTAAGTGTGCCTTTTCCCATAGAACCATAAATAACTAAAATCTCAAATGCTACCAATGTATCTGCCACTGATTCTTCAATGATAAATACACATTTTAAAAAGTATTATATTTTCATCAGTATGAAGGAAATTTGGTGATGGAATTATTGGTAAAGAAATGGAAGTCCCTGGGGCGCCTGGGTGGCTCAGTCGTTAAGCGTCTGCCTTCAGCTCAGGTCATGATCCCAGGGTCCATGGGATGGAGCTCCACATCGGGCTCCCTGCTCAGCGGGAAGCCTGCTTCTCCCTCTCCCACTCCCCCTGCTTGTGTTCCTGCTCTCACTCTCTTACTGTTAAATAAATAAATAAAATCTTAAAAAAAAAAAAAAAAAGAGTCCCAGAAAATTAAGAAGACCCAGTGGAAATGTCATACAGGTCTTTTCTTTAATCCCATCAAAACCACTTCCATGGAAACACGTGTTCAGGTCTGGAATGTTCCCTGAGAGCAGAGGTTGTACCTTCGCTTATAGTCTGCAATGTGTTATGCAGGTAGGTAGAAAATGGCTGGCTCACCAGGGGCATCTGTACTAACCAGGCAACTTTTCCTACTACAGGCAAAAAGGAAAAGGCCCCAATAATTCAGAATGAAGAATGATTTGTAATTTATGACTCCCAATAGGAAATCTAAGATTTCAATAGCTGAATATCATGGGTTTTCTTTCCTTCAAAAAAAACCTGGCTGATGAAGTATTTTTGAAAAGAACTTTGGCACAGCAATGCACTCTGGATCCCGCGTCAGGCAGCTAGATTATGTGCAGGACTTGTGTCACTGAAATACTCTCTTTATCTGGGTTTGCTCCAAACCAGCTTGCCACAGAGTGTAGGAGAGGACTCTTTTCTGATCATTTCTCTCTGAAAAGTCAACAGGATGTCCGGGATGCTTTGAGGGAATCTTTAGAAATATGGTTGTTATTTAGAATTCCCTTGTGGAGAATCCTGAGCTTGGAAGCCAATTCAGTTTCCTGGAAACTGGCAGCTTGGGTGTCAGGTCACTGAAGCCGGGTGTGGGTTCCTGAGGGCAGCCCCAGGTGGTGTGAGTCTGTCTACACCGTCCAGCACAGAGCAACAAGTCTTTGCAGTTCTAAAGAGCCTGTTTGACCTGGGGAAAAACCGGCCCCACTGTGGCAAATAGATATAAACAGGAGCCATTAAACCCCTTCCCTCAAGTAATATACACCGTTTGGTATAATAATCTCTGTTACACACTTACCTTTTTGAATATCCCCGATTATCCCATTTTGTTAGAGTCATATTAGGGTAAAAAGGAAACACATACACAAAGAAGTCTGTTTTAACCTGAAATAATTTTGTTGATATTTGAATTGCTTTTAGTGGGACATTTGCTTTAAACCACAAGATATCTCCATCTGGATTATTGGAGTACAAAATCTCTTCTCTCCCCCCTCCCCCAACCAAAACAAAGAAACAAACAAAACCCCAAGCCCACAACTCAGCTTCAAATAAGTTTTGAAGAAATGAGACTCTAAATATTTACATATGGGTCAAGAAATAAATCACAAAACTATTTACAAAAATACACAAGCTTATATGCATTAACAATTTACACCAGTTCACAAAAATATTAAAACATAAAAAAACACTATATAAATTAAAGTTAAGAACTCAAAAGTATGAGCTAAGACTTCCTAGGATGCTTCTCTCATGCAGATCATGGCTGAAAAATCAGGTTTTGCTACCTTAGAATCTAAACTGTAAAACAACCATTTTTATTCTTTGAACACTAACAGTACTAATCAGAAAAGGAAAAAAGACCCTCTGTGCACACGGACATTAAAATATACCATTCCTGACATTTCCGTAACACACAGTACTGAAAATCACATGCCTCTAACCATTTGGAAGTAACTTTCTGACATACTTTTGCTTTCATTATTTCCTTACACACACTGCTCAGACGATACTTTGCCAACATAATGAATGGATGATTGACAAACAGGGCTGGGAACAGATAATATGGACTTTGCAGGCTCCTTTTTAAACTCAAGGGGCAAATTTCCAATTTATAATGTATGCATCTACTGCTGCTTCAAATGTGGTTATCTACCCTTCTATCTCCACTCATACTGATGGTCCCTCTGCTTGACAGAGTCAGTCCTAGAATTTTTCAACCTGACCCTAACTTTAAAAAAAAATGCTTTGCCATTATAGAAATGTGCAGGCCCTATCCGTGGGACCATCCTGGGGACTTGCATGTTTAAAAGGAAACTGAATACAGTAAGCAATAAGGCTCAGATGAAATAAATAAGAAAATGGCACCTCTGGGGCTGTTAGCAAAGTCTCTGGCCAGACATCCAGGGAATATTTGTTTCAATCAAACCAAACTGTGACATTAGAGTTTTGCCAAAAAAATAAAATCTGGAGACATGGCTATAAAAATACCAACAGAATTAAATTATGGGTTTAATGCATAAGGCAGCTCCATTTCCTTGATCATAATTTGAACATTACTGTGAAGTCACACACAAGGTGAACTGTGCTGAGTTCACCTGGCTCACAGTGATCTGTTGTGCGATTTCTACCCTCCAGGATTAGAAAGGGAAAGATACAGGCAAAGTCCCTCAAAAAACTGAATCCGAAGTTAAGGCTGTCTCTACATACAAGAAAAGAAACAACTCTGGATTTTACCTAAAGTTGGTGTTTCACAATTATACCAGTAATTTGGGTCATTATTCTGTATTCAAAATATTTACCTGATATTTCTAAGCCCAAAGGACATGAATAAGGTAATTGTTTTGAGGAATTAACCTTAGTATTCATAAAATAGACTTAGGTTCAGGAGTGAACAATGTGTGTGACAATAAATCCACAAATATTAAAACTGGATGGGACTCCTTCAGCGGCTTCCTTCGGGCCTCTCAGTACTAACGCCATCTGTACCTCCTCCTCATACCGGCTCCTTTCTATGCTCCATGCTGCTGGTGAGAACTTACGGGGCGTGTGTGATCTCAGAGGGGCAATGGGTTGCCTACTTGACACAAAGATGGTTAAGGTTAAAAAAGAAAAAAAAGTTAGTGTTGCATATTCGCCAAAGATCAAACTCCTGTATATAGCACCTCACGTGTTTGTGTGCTAAAAGGAAGTCTCCTATCAGGTTCCCTAACACTGTGATTCTATGTGCGTTGGGTTTGCATGTTTCATGCAAAGACATGTCCACAGACCTTTCACAGGTCAGTATGTCCGGACTGCTACCATGATCTTTACTGAAGGAATTCCTCTCATCAACTCTGGGGAAACAAAAGAAAATCTTATAGAGTATTTCCACATATAAATAAATGTGTTCTTAAAACTTTATTTTTTTCTAAATATAAACCCTTAAAATGCAATCACATGATTTTCTTTTTAAATAAAAAAAAAACTGGCATGAATCCTAATCTTTATACAACTTCACAGCAATAATAGCAGCATGAATTTAGCCTCTTAAAAGATTTCTTCCTTTGCTCTAAAGAAAAGTTAATTCCAAGTTTTAAAAAGCCAGAGCAGCAATCATCCAGTAAATGGAATGAAATTCTCCTAGTGTCTTCTACAAACTGAGCTTTTAAAACATGTGAATGTATAAAACTCAAGTATTATTGAGAGTTATGGAATGCAGTGACAATCTGAACTCGTTTGTAAATACAGGACAGCCTGGTCGGTCTGGTGCTGATGTGGTCGGGGGGCGGGAGGGGGTGCTGCTGAGAAGACGGAGTGGAGTCAGGTCAGACAGCTGTCTGGCCGGGAACGTGACTTTCAAAAGGAAGTCCAGGGTATTCCACATGTGTAACAGGCCCACGGGCTTGTAAGGACTAGATCTGAAATGCTGGTGTAAAAATGGCAATTACAGTAAGACTGTGAGCGCACGGCACAAGGGTCCCTTAGGACGCACACGGTCACTGCCGGGGATTCCAACTGCTGAGATGGGGCGGTGCGCTGAGTGTAATTATTGCAGGGGCTTTCAGTTTACTAACAAATAATTCAAAGCTACCTGAAGAGTTCCCAAGAAACCTGTACTCTGGTTCAGAAACAGAAATCAACATGTAAATTTGTAATCATGATAAATATAGGTATTTATCCAGTCAAGTCATGCTGGGTTTTTTCACCCCAATTGGGGGGAAAAAAAGTTGCTTTAGAACAAATGGCGTGAAATGTTTCACTAGGATTACAATTTACCAAATATTATTGAGGAAAAAAATAACTGAAGGCAGGCAACACGTTAGAAGCACTGACAGGGTTTTATGGTGCTACCGAAGTTCACTGACTTCTGCCTAAGAAGTTTCTTTACTCCTGACTTTAGAAATCCCTTCTGCAGTTGACGTCAGCCTGCCCACTGAACTGCAAGGAATGACTCTAAGAAGTAAGAATGTGAAGAACATGGTTCAGCCTGGGTCTAAATGTAAACGCCAGGTTCAGCCTGGCATTTTATGATGGCTCTTTATTGGATGCTTAAAGTCTTCAATCCTTTATATTTTTTTAATTATAATGTGCTAATTGTCTGAGAGATTCATCTGAAGGATCAGGGAGAAGTTATTCTCCACTCTAATTTAACGCATGAGACCCTTCAAAGTCAGGGAGAACGAAGTGACAAAAACCAAGTGTCGACCTGGGCAAGCTGCATGGCTACTGAGAAAGTTAGTAGAAATGCAACAGAAATGCAAAAGCCTACCAGGAACTAGACATAAACCGCTCTGCGCTATGTAGCAAATACTAAGAAGGACAAAGTTAAATTCAAATTCAGTTAAAGGCAGTCCTCAGGCTCTGACAAATTAGCCCCATATGGCAAGTATGGTCTGTGACAAATTTCTTCACTAGGTTTTCAACACAGTGCTTTACAATCATTCAGATTTCTTTTAATGACAAAAATCACAGTCTAGAGATGGTAATGAAGCAGGGAAGGGGAAAAAGATGGTGATTTTTCTTGTTTCTTTTTTTAATGTGGTCGGGGGGATTGTAGCTTTTTTTTTTTTTTAATCTTTTTGGTTACTGAAAAAAAATAGAACAGTCCACTGTCCAGCAGAGGCTGCTTCATCTCTATTGCTCCAGGGCTCATTCTGCATGAATCTGTGTTTCAGGGTGCTGCAAAGACAACTCTGTGGGCAGGAAGGCCCCCTGACCCAAAGCTGTAGCATATGTCCTGTTTTGTGGGTGGGGAAAGCCAGGGGCCACATAGGTCCCCATTGCTCCTCCTCCAAAGCCTCCTCGCTGGTGCTGGGGTGGGGAGTGGTAACCCTCCAGGTTATCATACTGGGACACAACAGTCATACTGCTCTGGCGCTTGCCATGTGTTTGGTATTGGTACAGCACACCGGGGTCCCTCTCCACATTCTGAGTATGATGGAGTTTCAGGCTGTGACTCCTCTCTGGTTTCGGGGGTGGGACTATTGACTGGGGGAGGTGTTCCTCCTCCTTGTAGCAGTCTCTGGAGTGTTTCTCTGGGGCAGGAGGCTGCCTAGCCCGAGGCCTCTCCAGCTCTTTGGAGAGCCTCACCTCTTTGTGGTTCAGTCTGAGAGACTCCTGCCCCGATGGAATATATTTCCCTCCAGAGTTATGGTAGCTGACTGGCTCAGAAGTGTCTGGAATCCCTTTGGGCCCATAATCTAACTGGCCAGCTCCTTGCGGGTAAGGTGGCCCATTTTTTGATTCACATAACTGCCTATGGCTTGCTTCCTGATGTGCCCTGTGCTCAGGGAGACTACAACCCATGTCATGAAGCTTCCTGTTCCTGAGGCTACTTTGCTTCTGAGGGAGAGTCGGTTTCTCTGACTGTCCATTGCCATATCCTCCGTGGTGGTGGGCTCTATCGAACTCTGGCTCTGGATGCTTCCTATAAAAGCGGTCCTCTCCCTCAGGACTGACGGCCTTGGCTGGATGCCGCCCCTCCTTTCCCTCTGCCACCGAGAGAAGTCCAGTTTTCCCAGGATCTGATTTACTACGGAGGTGGATGACATAGATTCCACCCAAGTCATCTTGCACGGCTGGGGTCATGTTATCATACTGGGACATAACAGGACCTTTCACCTTCTGCCGAGCGCGGCTCTCTCTCCGGATGGATTGCATGCGGTATTTTTCCATGTCCTCAAGATCCCATGATGTGTACGTGTGCTTTACGTCAGCAGTTGGAGGCATGTTGACTACATTATGGTCATTACCAGAGAAGTAGCCAGTCATGTTGGCCCGGGGACGTGGGAGCAAACCAGCATAACTGTACAAGTTCTTTCCTTGCAGCCTAGGATTGTAGAAGGCAAAATCGCGATTGGGTAGGCGGTGAAGGGGCCTCAACTGTACCGTGCCGTAGGCATCCACGTCACACAGGGCTCCTTCTGGACTGTAATAGGAACTAGAAGAACTGGAGTATGGGCTATACCGGTAGTGGACCCGACCATTCTCAAAGTAAGGCTGAAGCTGAGTGACATGATAATCTGAGCGGGCCTGTGAGGACTGATATGGCTTATATTGGTACAGGGGTCTTGGGCAGTAGGCTGGTTCATCATCTGGGGGAACTTCTGTCCGGGAAATGGGAACAGAGCGAATCATGGAAGATGGAGGGGCATGGAGAGACTGTACCCTCCGGATGGTAGGGTACGGGGGAATATCTTCAGGGTAACAACTACTCCTAATTGTGGAGCCCAAAGAAGATACATACTCAACTCGGCTGCATGGTTTGGCGTGGTGTCCAGATGCATTTCTTCCCGGGGCCACGTATGTGTTATAACGAGGTCCCATGGAGGCTGGTGGCTCTGATCTGGAACCGTACACCTGGTGTTGCTCCAATTTATTATGATGTGGAGGTACACTCTGGGGACGGTACTGGCAGTTTGGATTCATATTGAAATGCAAACAGTTTTCTGGCCCAAAGGGTTCAGTGGTGACATCAGGCCTAGCAAAGGTGGAATAAGTCGTTTTCTGCGAAGCATGCTTAGGTTGTGGGACAGGCAGTGGTAAAGGCAGAGCGTCATCCACAGAGGCTGAGGAAGCAGTGACAAAGGGATGATAGCCGGAACTGCTGGGGGCGTCCGCACTGCTGGAGTGTATGGCTGTGGCCATTTTACTCTCCATTGTCCTGGTGGGGGGAACCGGTGCGGGAAAGCCACAGGATGAGAACACAGGGACAGAGTCGGCACGCAGGGGCAACGGTGGGGCCCTGGCACCTTCCCGCGCCTTTTCAGGAAGGCTTGGCTGGAGGGCAGGACCAGAGATGGGACACTGGGCCGCTGCGCCATCACTGCCCAGGATGGGTGCGGGGTCATCCATGGCTCTGGGGTCAGGTGGTCTCTCTGGAGCTGGGACTACTTGCACCTATTGGAAGACGATCATATCATGAGCTTGTTTCCTATGCTCCCCTCTGTGGAATCAAACACTATTCAACCTGTAACCCACGAGTTGAGGCTATCTGAGTAGCAGCTTGAAACTCCCCAAGCCACGTGGTTGCACTGGACACAACAGTCTGCTCTCACCACCAGGAAGCGGTCTGTGTGCTGCCACCTGGTAGGACAGCCATGACCATCTCTGGGCAACTGTTCTACTTTACGACAGGCTTTAAACGTGAGACGAGGTTGCCTATGGCATTATCTCAGCATGCAGACCAAATGGGAGGTTTAAAGTACTGTCAAGCTTAAAAATATACACCTAGCCTACCTGTCTAGCTTGGTCTCAACACCAAGAACATTCTGTTAAACAGAGAGAGTTGATTCTAGCTAGAGAGATTTGTGAAGTGACTCACGGCTATATGTAATGAGATGCGTGAGCCCCACCAAATCTAGGGAAGGGTAATGAAGTCACTGGTCTGATTCAGGGCCATTCAAATCAAGCGGTTACTGTCTCTCCCCACCTTCTACTCCACCCTGGTCTGTAGCAACTGACGCCAAACATGATCCTCACAGCAAGGCTGCAAATAGGCTATCCTTGAGAAGCAGTTGCTAGAAATAGCATCCTCCACTAAAGCCTAGATATCAAAGTCCTTTGAGTTCAAGGTGACCACAAAGCATGTGGGGCACTTTTCTAAACTTTGAGAAAGTTAGAAAGAAATCTTAGCATTCTGCAAACATTCTCTCATCAAAACAGATGCTTGACTACAGAACAACCTGCTGGTTCAGGCTAAGGAAATAACATAATGACCTAAAACACCGTCAGCTCTTACATTTCTAAAAATTCTGCAAGGCAGAAAGTCTTTCAAATGTCTTGAGAATAAAGCACGTTCACCGTGCAGATGTGAATTATTGGCAGAGGGTAGATTAAATGACTTGCCCAAAGTCACACTGAGTCAGTGATGGAGTTGGGGGGTGGTTGGGACCAACCTGCAGCCCTGACACCTGAAGCCCAATTTGACTTATTTGATCATGGTCTCCTTGTATTACTATGAAGAAACTACCCAGAGGCTTTAGGAAGAAAAGACAGCAGGTATAAACTAGAGTCACTGAGTAACTGCTCCTTTCTCAGGGAGAAACCGGCATCAAGGTAAAGGCAGGTCCAACCTCAGACAGGAAATGTTCCATGGAAACCTGCCACAGGACTTCAAATAAATGTCCTATCTGACTCACAGATAGCAGCACACCCTGCTGAAAAGTGATGTACCTTTGGAAAAAGTACATTTCATCTCCCTGACTCCCTCCCCTTCTTACCTTGTGGGAATTATTTAGTCCTATGTTGGTGGCTGCCTGTACCTGCCCCATGACTGGCAGCAGCTCTGCTGATCTCTGGGAAGGAGGTGGGGGGAGGGGACGATTAGTTCTCGGAGGGCGCTGAAGGGTGACAGCAGGGCAATCAGCGGCGGTGGCTTGTTCAACCACATCCCAGCTGGCTTCCCTGGTGCTCATCTCGGCTGTTGCTAGAGCAGTTGTCAGGTAAGCCATGGTGGCCGTGCTGGGATTCTCTTCAGGGGACCCAGAAGGAGGGTAGCTTTTGTCCCGAGGCAAATTAGAAGGTGTGGGAGATTTGTCTGCAAGTTCTGAAGGGTGATGATGGGGTTTATCCATACTTGCACCAAGATAAGGAGGCTGCTCTCCACTGTAGAAATGAAGCTGACCCTGGTCCTGATCCATAAAGGAGACAGTTGGCATACTGGTCTTCCCGGACTGGTCTTCAAGGAAACTTAGGTGATCATCAGACTTAGAGTCCGTTAAGGCAACAGAAGTGATTCTGGCCTTGTCTGGGTCCCCAGGTAAATGGGTTCGATATGGATAACTCCCTGGGAAGTCTGCCTGGTCGAGCTGCTCCCCAGCTTCGGTTGCACTGGCATGGGGAGGATTCCCAGGGGCGGCTGGATCTGGACTAGGCTGGTCACAGTCCCCAGACACACCGTGCTGGAGGTGGAACTCCTCTGCTGGCCTATCAGTTTGGAAATAGGCTTTATCTAGAGTAACACTAGAGTAGGGACTGGGCAGTTTATCTTCGGTAGCAGCCACTGCTATGTCTCCATAATGTGAATAAGCAGCCTGGGAAGTCCCTGGTCTCTTCAGTGACTGAGTTGAGGCTTGCTGCGCGGACTCAGCTAATGCTAGCGCCAACAGGCGGGCAACGTTTTTCGGAGGCGGTGGTGGTGGGATAAGAGAGACTGAACTGACAGGAACGGAATCCTGAGGGGGGTCATGGGTAACTGCTCCTGGTGGGAAATTGGGAAAAAAAATGAGAGTGAAAAGGTAGCTTGTGTTATCCTATACGGAAAGCCAAACACTCCCCATTTGATCACTAGAAAACAGGTGCCTTCCATATTTCAAAATGGCAATCCATGATCTTCCATCCCACATGCAAATGCTGGAGAAAACACATCTGGTTCAGAAGGAAAACTAAAACAAAGTATTTAAAGATTGCAATCTCCTCTTGAATTGCTATAGAGATGGGGGGAAAAAAGCAGGTCCCTCATCTGGCTCAGAAAAGACTGCTTAGAAAACAAGCTTCAAGTGCCTGCAGATTGTTATTAAGGATAGTTTTTACATTTGATGGTGTAGGCTGGCTGGTTAACTTGTAAGGCTATAATACAGGTACTTTTATTAGAAAACAGAATCAAGAGCTACGAAGCTGTGCAAAAATTATCCAGGAATTCTGACTGTCCAAAGACAAAAGGGGACTTTAGGAAGGTCTGAAGCAGGACCACTGGCCCTTTGGGGGATTTTTGTTTGACTGATTTTAATTTAGGGCTTTGAGCCATCAGCACACCCAGAAAAATATTCTCTTTGATTAAAGGCTAGCTGTGGAGCAAATTTCTCTCTTAAAAGGCACAGATGGCACACAGGACTGAAGATCCCTCTTAGCTTAAGGAAAGAATGGAGGAAAACAAATGGTACCTGTCTGAGTCTGTCCAGAAGGTACAGCCTTACTCTGACTGCTCGCGACGACCTGCTCCTCTTTCCCTGGAGACTCTACTTCTGCAGCAGCCCCCTGGTCTAGGGGCTGGACTTCAGACTCACATCCTCCTTGGGCCTCTCTCTCATTTGTTTTCATCTTTCCTACCTGGGTGGGGGATCTATTTATGACATCACTGTCTTCAACACTTTTGCTCCAGGTTGGAGAAGATGCATTTGGAGCTGCTGTATTTGACACAGTCCCGATGACTTCCGATACGCGAGTGGGAAGAGTCACTGAAATTGGCTCAGATATGTTCATAGAAGGTGATTTGCTTAATTTCCGTCCAATCTTTGGAGAGAAAGCATAGACGACCTTTTCAGTGAATGAGGATGGCTTGGATGATTTCTCTTCGGTTGGGCTCAAGTCCAGGGTAAAGAATGGACTCAGTTTCTCCTGAAGAGGAGAGACGGCTTCAGAACTTGCAGTGCTTCCTGGCGTCTGAGACTGGCTACCACCTGCTTCTGTATCCTTTTTGTTGGAGCTTGATTTCTCCTGGGAGTATCCTAATGAATCTAGAAAGGAAGCCCCACTCTCCAGACATTCTGATTCAGCCTTAGGGGGGCTGCACTGAAAAGACATTGGGTCGAAATCCAGGCTGGCGACGCCAATGTCCGGTGGGCTCAAGTCAACGTCCTCGGCTGTGTGAGAAGACATAAGAGCTGGAATATGCAGCAGCCCTACTTCCTCCTCACTCTCATTGTCATGGGGCAGATTATCATAGGAATTACAGCGGTTCCCCAGCATTTCTCCGTTGAAAGAGGCACTCAGTGCATCACTGCTAGATCTGGGTCTTCTGGGTCGGAACAGCTTGGAGTCACCTGGCAAAAACGGATAACAACATCAAAGTATGAATGCCTAGGATACACGATACACAATACCATGAAAAGTCACCTACTTAGTACAGTAGTAATGCACAACTATAGGGTAAGGAAATGTTCCTTCTCATTTTCTTTCCAGAAATTGTCTCCCGGGGCAAATGGCTGGAACTCCTGAACCAAATCCTAAATAACAAAAACATCTGATGTCATGAGGGGGAGAATGCAGCCTTTCATGGTTTCAACAGGAAAAAAGACTCAGAACTCTTAGATTCTATTACTAGTCCAACATTGACTCTTGTGGTGACTTTGGGCAAGATTTCTTTCTTTTTGTCTTATTTTATGACTGATCTCACACAAGATTTCTAAGATAGAATTAACCACTTTAAATAGTACTTTGGATATAGCAGAGCAAAAGGGTTTTGTTTTTGGTTTTTTGGTAGGGAAAAATCCTCCTAACACCCACATTTCTAAAAAGCAAACATCAACTAAAAATCTCTACAATCCCATAAAGTATTTATACAATACTTAGTACAGGATTCTTTTTCGATACTTGGAACAAAAATAATTTCTTTTTTTTTTCTCTAATAAGGATAGGCTTTAAGTCTCTCAGGCAGAGTCCTTCAAGAGTAAACCATTATACAATTTTATGATATTGCTACACATCCAACTTGGTAACAGAAGTCTTCGAGCTCAGCATTCTATTGCAAAGATTAGAACTGCCAAAATTGCCTGAACATAAATATGTTTACTAACGTGTTGACCACTTATATGATTAATCTATACTAAAACATTATTTTTTGCTTAATACTGGCATCTACCCAGCCCACTTCATTGTATCTGTGAACCATTCTCTTAACCACAGTGAAATGGAAAACCCTTAAGATGTCAGACACCCAACTAAAGGGATGTGTGAGGATTTCTTGAAATAAGCAGAGCTATCGGCTGATGAGGATCTGGCAGTTAGAAGAGTTAATAAATGAAGATAAGAAAGTTGACCAGGACGATGACACTCCAGGGTATCTCAAAAAAATGATCCCAATATCAACAGATTAAGAAAAGCCCATGGAAAATCAATGTAGATCCTCGTTATTTTTGTAGAAAGGGCCTTTTTTTTTTTTTTTTTACAATCCTGCTGCATAAGCCAACCATAAAGTGAAGGATGTTCTATTTGCTATTATGACATGGTTTTGTCAAAAAAGTTAGATCTCCTTCCAACTGAAGTAATCCTTTGTTCATTCTAAACAGTAATACATAATTGCAACCATAACCCAACTTTAGCTAAGTAGGGGCCAAAAAACTTATTTTCATAATTTTTAGTTTTGTCAAGTAAATCAAAACTTTTTGTATTCTTTACTAAAATTTTGGGCCCCCTTTTTAAGAGGATTCCCTTCTAAATTTTCTTCTCCTTGTATGGAAGATCATATCTTCAGATAATGGGGACTGCCTATAATCAATTTGATCGATGAAATTTAATGTCAGGTTAAGCCATTTACAAGACAAAAGACTACTGATTTGAATATCAAAACTGCTTAATTTTATACTTTGTAAAATTGTGCTTTCATGAAATCTAAAGAAAGAAATACTAATAACATCATTTTCCACTGGACATTGATAACGATAAATGGTTAACTTAAAACATTTTACCTATTTTTATGTACACTGAATAGCAATCATGTCAACAGTGAAGAAATTAGACTGGTACCGTATGAAGACATCCATGAACAATATCAAATAGATATGAGTATTGTTTGCAAATGATAGTCTGTAGCCTATTTAGTAATATATATTTACCAAATATACTCAATTGTTGTGTTCTTTTATGAAATATAGAATAAAACAACTGCTAGTTTTAGTCTTACCATCAACTGCATGGAGAGATGTAAGAGATTCTTCGCTTTTAGCTGAACGGAGGGTTCCTTCTGCCCTGCCACCTGAAGAATCAAAACCAAATAGTGTGAAGTTTTATCCACTGCTACATATGTAGAGAAAAGGAACAGTGATTTTCTATACACATATTTAAACTTCCAAAGGTGATTAACTGTACATTTTGACAATCATATTCAATTTAAGCAGCGTATTATATAAGGGGCTGTATTGTTTTCACATGGTTTCCTATGTGAAAAATCTCTTATCTAAAGGATTATCAACTTGAGAATAGAGATGAATTTTAAAACATCTTCCTTTTTTATTTCCTAAAGATCAGCATGATGGCTTAAGATGATATCATACTAGATTTTTCTTTTTTTCTCATCCTTCACAATCATTTGGTGACCCAGCCTTATAGATTCTGCTTCCTAAATATCTCTCACATCTATTTCCCACTTCTGCCACTGCTTATCCCAGACACTCAACTCTTTCTTGGTTGTCCACCTCTAACCGTCTCCTAATTACTGTCCAGTCTACAGCCTTATCTCTTCCCATATATCCCCTGTGCTGCTGCTGTAAGTCATGTTTCTAAACCCTAAACGTAACCGTGTTACATATTAAAGCCAAAGGATAACCCCCAAAGGAACACAGGACAAAACCAAAACTCTCTGGCAAGCACATGAGGCCCCTGATGACCTAAACCTCTTTCTGAACCATCACATATCCAGCCAAGTTCCCTGCTTCACACATGAGCACACACTTTGCTCCCATTTCAGAAATGCCCTTCTCAGTCCCTTGGTGATCACATGAATCCCTACTTATCTCTCAAAACCCAAGTAGATTTCTGACCACTAGCCCTCTTGCCCATAGGAACTGACAAGTCCTACCATAAATGCCTCACATAAATATCTATTTCAATTGGAGTGATTCTGCATGAAATTTATTGTCTTACACATACACTTTCCCAAGTAAGTTTCTGAAGGCAGGGGCGATATCTTAATTTTCTTTCTATCTGAGAGGTTGCGATCAAAATATTTAGCACATGCTTAGTACATGACTGCAAATTGAATGATGAATTAAATGAACTGAACATTATATTTCTAACATTCAAGCACTACTATCCTTCCTAGATTCAGAAGCTGTTAATATCAGTAGACCATGGTTTTAAAACTATTTTTAAGAGTAGTATTTTACAACAACAGTAATAGATTTATTTGATCCAATAAGATACTCTCATCAATGAGTCATTCCATAAAAAGATAGATTCCTTCGTTATAAGAGTTATAAACTTAAAAGGCATGTTAAAACATGGTTTTGTCACATTTTAAATCTGTAAAAATACAGATTAATAAATTTAAACACCACAGCAGTTATTCTTTTTATTAACAACAATACGCAATCTATGTTATGAATTTTAACCACATTCACACTCTATACAATCTGCAGTTTCCACAAGAAACTGGGTACTTCCACCGTATTCCCTGCATATTTACGTCTGTGTTTAGAGACGAAGAATTGGTAGAAGAAGACAATTCCCGTGTAGCACCACGGCTGTGGACACACTGTGTTGAAGCACATGGTGCACACCATCACGACACACTGAGCACCTGTACGCAGAGAGGCGCAGGCCGGCGGGGCAGGATGACGGCGCGGGCCGGCCACACCAGCTGCTTTCCTGGCGGCAAAGCACAGGACGGCGGGAGCACCAACCTTTCAGAGACAGGGCTTTCATCTCAGAAGGCTCACTCTCGTTCCGCTGCAACTTCCGCTTGGAAACGGATGACGATTTCCCCAAGTTGAAAAAGGAACGCCAGCTGCCCACGGGAGATTTTTTCATTTTATTTTGAGGCCTCCTCCTATGAGAGAGAAAGTAATCTGTATTAAGATATCCAACGGGCTGTCTTCATTTCTAGGAAATGAACAAAGGATGGAAAGAACCAAACAGCCTAGAGAGGGCACAGCTGAAATAGTACCTGTGTTTACACACATCCACTGTGTATGTGCATACATGTAGGACGCACATCCACTGTATATGCCACGCGTATAGCAAACACCCACTACACGTGCATACATGCAGCACGCACATCCACTGTATGTCATATATGTAGCACGCAATCCACTGTTTATGTCATATATATAGCACACATCCACGGTATCTCATATATGTAGCACGCACGTCCACGGTATATGCCACATGTGTAGCAAACACCCACTATATGTGCATACATGTAGCACACACATCCACAGTATATGCCACATGTGTAGCAAACACCCACTATGTGTGCATACATGTAGCACGCACATTCATAGTATATGCCACACGTGTAGCAAACACCCACTACGTGTGCATATATGCAGCACATACATCCACTGTATATGCCACGCATGTAGCAAACACCCACTACACGTGCATATATGCAGCACGCACATCCACTGTATGTCATACACGCAGCACGCACATCCACTGTATATGTCATACATGCAGCACGCACATCCAGTGTATATGTGCATACACGCAGCACGCACATCCACTGTATATGTCATACATGCAGCACGCACATCCAGTGTATATGTGCATACACGCAGCACGCACATCCACTGTATATGTCATACAGGCAGCACGCACATCCAGTGTTTATGTCATACATGCAGCACGCACATCCAGTGTATATGTCATACATGCAGCACGCACATCCAGTGTATATGTCATATATGTAGCACACGCGTGTGTGTGTATACAGCACAGTCTACAGAGCACAGCTAAACTGTACAGCTAAAGCATGACATGGTAATAAAATGTATAGATTTGAATATTAATAACTAGTCACAAAGATAATTTTTATACAGATTTTTATATTTAGATCTAACCTCACAGTCAGTGAAATAAGTAAAAATAAGAAATATTTGGAAGTAGGAATTATTAAAACTCCAAAATAAGAGTTAAAGAAAACAGTTGTGTGTGAGTAAACAGAATTAAACCAAAAAGGAAGAAAAGTATTACAAATAATAACTAATATAAATTGAATGCCAGGCACTGTGCTAACTGCCTTATGTAGTAGCTCATTTAAAATTAAAATAACTGTACAAGGTAGGTACTATTATTCTCTTTATAACTGAGGAAATTATGACACTAAGTTTAAGTAACTTCCTTAATGTTATAAAACTAGTAAATGATGGAGTCAGGGTTGGAACCCAGTTATATCCATATCCAAGTATCTACTCTCTTGACTGCTACTCTATAAAGAAATTTTTGAAGAAATAATGGAAATGCTGGGAGGCATCATTTTTCTTGCCCTCCTTCAGCCTAGCTGGCCCAACACTGGCAGGAGCCAGTTCTGACACTATCCATCTACCTTGCTAGCACCATTTACCCCACGCCAGTGTTCCCTTCAGACCAGCCCCACTCAACCCACCTGTCCCTGTAAGCACCCCTCAAAAGTGGCTCCTGCCACACCTAGCAGGCAGCCTTGGTGAGGATGGAGCCCGTTCAAGGCAACTCCTCCCCCAGAGAGGGAGGGAGGCAGCCCTGCCCACCAACACACCAGCAGCAGTTACAGCGAGGGCTGGCCCCACCTGCCAGCACTCCTGCAGCAGCTACAGCCAGGCCTCTCAGACCACTGCACTGAAGTCCAGCTGTGCCCACCAGTGTGCCCATAGTGCTCATGGCTGGTCACTGCAGGCAGCCAGACTGAGAGCCATACCCACCCAACAGCACACCCACAGCAGTCCCAGCCCAGTTACAACAGGAGAGCACACACAGCCCACATAGGGAACACGCCAGGAGCACCTGGTTCTGGTGACCAGGAGGAACTGCACTACTGGGCCCCACAAACCTTCTTCTGAAAAAGCCACCACTTTAAGACCAGGAGACATAGCTGACTACCTAACACACAGAAAGAAAAATGAGGAGATGGAGGAATATGTTCCAAATGAGATAAAAGGACAAAGCCTCAGAAAAAGAACTAAACAAAACAGAGATAAGCAATTTGCCTGATAAGCAATTTGCCTGTTCAAAGTAATGGTCAAAGATGCTCACTGGACTTCGAAGGAGAATGGATGGACTCAGTGAGAATTTCAACAAAGAGATAAAAAATTTTCAAAAGAACCAACAGAGCTGAAAAACAGAATAACTGAAATGAAAAATATACTAGAGGGAATCAACAGCAGATCAGAGGATGCAGAAGAATGGATCAGCAATTTGGAAGGCAGGGGAGTAGAAAGCACCCAAGCTGAAAAAAGAAAGAAAAAAAGAATTTTAAAAAATGATGGTAGGTGGTAAAGGGACCTCTGGGAAACATTGAGGATACTAACATTTGCATTATGGGAGTCCCAAAAGGAGAAAAGTGGGCAGGGGCAGAAAACTTATTTTAAGAAATAATAGCTGAAAACTTCCCTAACCCAGGGAATAAAACAGATATTGAGGTGGTCTGGGAAGCATATAAAGCCCCCTAAAAGATGAACTCAAGGCGGTCCACCCCAAGACACATAATAATTAAAACTTGAAGAATTAAAAATAAGGAGAGAACCTTAAAAGCAGCAAGAAAAAAACAAATAGATATATACTAGGGAATCCCCATAAGGCTATCAGCATTATTTTTAGCAAATACTTTTCAGGCCAGAAAGAAGTGAAATGATATATTCAAAGTGCTGAAAGGAAAAAATCTACAGAAAATACTCTACCTGGCAAGGCTATCATTCAGAACCAAAGGAGAGATAGAGTTTCCCAGACAAACAAAAGTTCTAAGAGTTCATCACTAAACCGGCCACACAAGAAATGATAAAGGGACTTTTTTGAGTAGAAAAGAAAAGGCCATAACTAGAAAAGAAATTATTAAAGGAAAAAATATCACGGATAAAAGCAAACATAAAGATAGTAGATCAATCATTTATAAAGCTAGTATGGGGTGCCTGGGTGGCTCAGTCAGTTAAGCATCTACCTCTGGCTCAGGTCATGATCCCAGGGTCCTGGGATCGAGTCCCACATCAGGCTCCCTGCTCGGCGGGGAGCCTGCTTCTCCCTCTCCCTCTGCCTGCCCCTCCCCCTGCTCATGTGTGTGTCTCTCTCTCTCTCTCGTGCTCTCAAATAAATAAATAAAATCTTAAAAAAAAATAAAGCTAGTATGAAAGTTAAAAGAAAAAAAGTAGTAAAATCAACTATATCTAAAAAATCAGTTAAAGGACTCACAAATAAAAAGATGTAAAATATGATGTCATATACATATAATGGAGAGGAGGGAGTAAAAACGCAGTGCTTTTAAAATGCATTTGAATTTAAGTGACCATCAACTCAATAAACTTGATAGGATATTATATATGAACCTCATAGTGACTACAAACCAAAATCCTGTTAATAGATACACACAGAAAAAAGAGAAAAGAATCCAAGCATAACACTAAAGAAAGTCACTAAATCACAAGAGAAAAGAGCAAGAGAAGAAACAGAACTACAAAAATAACCAGAAAACAATTAACAAAATGGCAATAAGTACATATCTACCAATAACTGCTTTAAATGTAAATAGACTAAATGCTCCAATCAAAAGACATAGGGTGATTGGATAAAACAACAAAACCTACAAGACAGTCACTTTACATGTAAGACACATACAGACTGAAAGTGAAAAAATGGAAAAAGATAATCCATGCAAATGGAAGCCAAAAAAAAAGTTGGGGTAGCAACACCTACATCAGACAAAACAGACTTTAAAACAAAGGCTATAATAAGAGACAAAGAGGGCATTACATAATAAAAAGGAATCAATCCAACTGGATGCTCTATCAGTTGTAAATAGCTGTGCAACCAAAATAGGAACACCTATAAGCAAATATTAACAAACATAAAGGGAGAAATTGACAGTAATACAATAGTAAGGGACTTTTAACACAATAGATCTTTGATCAAAAAATCAAGAAATACCTAATACCTATCCTTCTCAAACTATTCCAAAAAAATAAATAAGGAAGGACTGTTTCCAAATCTATTCTATGAGGCCAGCATTACCTTGATACTAAAACCAAAGACATTACAAAACAAAGAAAATTATAGACCAATGGATCCCTGATGACCATGGAAGCACAGCCCTCAATAAAATATTAGCAAATTGAGTTCAACAACACATTAAAAGGATCATTCACGAAGATCAAGTGAGATTTATTTCAGGGATGGAAGGATGTTTCAATATCCACAAATCAATCAACATGGTACACCACATTAACAAAATGAAGAATAAAAATCATAGAACATCTCAACAGATGAGAAAAAGCATTTGACAAAATTCAACATCCGTTCGCAATAAAAACTCTCAAGAAAGTGGGTTGAGAGGGAACATACCTCATCATAATAAAGGCCATATATGGCAAACCCACAGATTACACCATATTCAATGGTGAAAGGCTAAAAACTTGTCCTCTCAGATCAGAAACAAGACAAGGATGCATTCTTGCCACCTTCATTCAACACAGTACTGAAGTGCTAGCTACAGCAATCAGACAAAAAAAAGAAATAGGCAACCAAATTGGCAAGGAAGAAGTAAAACTGTCACTATTTGTAGATGACATGATACTATATATAGAAAATCCTAGATTCTACCAAAAAACCAGTAAAACTAATGAATGAATTCAGTAAGTTGCAGATACAAAATTAATATACAAAAATATTTTGCATTTTTTATACTACTAACAAAACTGGCAGAAAAAGAAATTAAGAAAACAATTCAAATTACAATTGCATCAAAAAGAATAAAAATACCTAGGATTAAATTTACCAAGGACGTGAAACACCTGTTCTCTGGAAATTATAAGACATTAGTGAAAGAAATTAAAGATGACATAAATAAAGGGAAAGATACACCATGTTTATGATTGGAAGAATTAATACTGTTAAAATGTCCACACTACCTAAAGCAATCTACAGATTCAATGCAATCCCTAACACAATATGAATAGTATTTTTCATAGAACTAGAAAAAAAAATCCTAAACTTTTTAAGGAACCACAACAGCCACAGCTATCTTGAGGAAGAACAAAGCTGGAGGTATCACATTCCCAGATGTCAAACTACACTGTAGATGAAACTGTATGGGACTGGCACCAAAAGAAACATAGTTTGACGGAACAGAAGACAGCCCAGAAATACACTTATGCTTACATGGTCAATTCATCTATGACAAAGGTGGCAAGAATATGCAATGGGAAAAAGACAGTTTCTTCAATAAATGTGTTGGGAAAACTGGACAGCTACATGTAAAAGACTGAAACTAGACCACTTTCTTATAGGATACACAAAATAAACTCAGAATATGTAAGGCCTGAAACCACAAAACTCCTAAAAGAAAATATACGCAGTAATCTCTCGGACATAGGCCTTGGCAATATTTTTCTGAATCTGTTTCCTCAGGCAAGGGCATGAAAAGCAAAAAGCAAAAGTAAGCAACGGAGACTATATCAAATTTAAAAACTTGCAAAGCGAAGGAAGCCATCTACAAGACAAAAGACAACCTACTGAATGGGAGAAGATACTTGCAAATGACATGTCCACTAAGGGATTAGTATCCAAAATATATAAAGATTCATACAACTCAATACCAAAAAGATAATCTGATTGAGGCAGAGGACCTGAACAGACACTTTTCCAAAAAAGACATACGGATGGCCAAAAGACACATGAAAAGATGCTCAACAATCACTCATCATCAGGGAAATGCAAATCAGAACCACAATGAGATACCACCTCACACCAGAGTAGCTAAAATGAAAAAGAGAAGAAATAACAAGTGTTGGCAAGGCAGTGGAGAAAAGGGAACCCTCATGCACTGCTGATGGGAATGTAAATTGGTACGGCCACTAGGGAAAACAGTGTGGAGGCTCCTCAAAAAATTAAAAATAGAACTACCATATGATCCAGTAGTTCCACTTCTGGGTATTACCCAAACAAGGCAAAAACATTGATTTGAAAAGTATATGCACCCTTATGTTTACTGCAGCATTATTTATAATAGCCAAGATATGGAAGCAACCTAAGTGTCCATCAAGAGACGAATGCATAAAGAGGATGTGGTGTACACACACACACACACACACACACACACACACACACACAATGGAATATTATGCATTCATCTCTTGATGCTGGTTGGGAGATTGCACTATGAGAAGTATTGGTCTATTCTAAACTTAATATGGAGCCAATGTCAAACAAGTCATTATTCATTCTTTATTTCCTGAGTAAGCTATTCCAATCCAGTTTCTTTCTTTCTTTTTTATATTCTTTTTATTTGAATGAGAGAGAGAAAGAGAAAATATGAGCAGGGGAGGGGCAGAGGGACAAGCAGACTCCCTGCTGAGTGTGGAGCCCAACATAGGACTTGATCCCAAGACCCCAAGATCATGACCTGAGCTAAAGTCAGATGCTTAACAAACTGAGCCACCCAGATGCCCCCAGTTTATTTCTAAATAAATTTCTAGACAACATATCTCAGAGAGAAAATCACTTATTTTCTATATAGTGGAAGTGTATTATTTTTCCCAACAATCTGCCTTCTATAATTAACTTTCATCTTCTTTAAAATGACATAATGTTGTAATGCTTTTCAAAAATCATTTGTATCATTCCCTATGAGAGATCACCTATAATCAAATGAATGGGTTTTTCTGGGACTAGCCCAAAATCAATATAATAGTATTAGAATACAACAGTAAAAAAAGAAAAGAAAAGAACACTTGACCAGAGGATTTAATGAATTTTACCTTTCAAGTGGGAACTCAATTATAGTATGAAACTTTCCCTGAAGTGCAGCAGGTCCTTCTCCTACTTCGATGTATTTATTTTCAGTCACAATTGGAGAGCTGACCTGAGCCTGCGTTCGTGCCTGTGCTTCCTCCAATGTCAGCAGCTTGGTGGACGGAGAGGAAACCAGCAGGGACTTGGGTCTTGATAGAGAAGCTTTGGAAAGAAAGAAAAGTGATGAAAAGAGTCAAGATTTTTGGCATAGGTAAAAAATATAAATCTGTGTGTGTGTGTATATCAATCTCCATCTATCTACCTAACTGTGCTGTTTTACATTTTCTTCATTAAGTCTTTCAAATGGCCAAACAATAGGGCTTTATACTGAATGAGGAAAAGGTGACATACCAGGTTGTTAATAATGACATACATATATATATATATTTTAATTCCTTAAGTAACTTAACTATTTTCCTTTCTTAAAAGATAACAAGCAAGGCCTGGTATCATTCAGATATCTTAGATCTGGAAAAAATTTTTTCTTTCACTGTTCCATAATATAAGTTTATATGCATCAATAATTTGTGACATGATATATTTTTTAATGTGTCATAAACTTTGATCATAATAGGTCTAATGCAGTATTCACTAAATATTATACACACACAAAATAACTGTTAAACCATGAATTTTGAGAAGTAGACATAAATTACCTGCTTTCTACCAAAGACAGATTTATTCAATTGAGATAATAAGAAATGCAGTTTTCCATGCCTTTAGACGTTTATACATGTTCCTTGTAAATAAAATCCGTGTTAGCCATACCTGCCCCGTCCTGAATGACGGCACTGATTTTCCCGCTGAAGAGGACATCTACATGATTCAGGATGAATTCAACCACCACAGACTGAATCCTCACTTCCATGAAAGCTGCCGTTCCACTGAAGCAGGCAGATTCTATCTGTTTGGATCTGTGGGATAACCAACAACACCGTCAGAGAATCCCAAGACAGCAGCCTTAAAGGGCATTATTTTTTTTAAATGTGTAAACCACAAACAGACCAGAGGAAGAAAACATACTTTAATGCTTTGGCTAAGTCCCACTTGCCTCTTTTAGGGAGATGCTCATAAAAACAGCAGATGAGCTTTACTTTTAAAAACTGTCCTCACCAACAGTACATTAAAAGGATTATTCACCATGACCAAGTGGGATTTATCCCTGGGCTGCAAGGTTGGTTCAACATCCGCAAATCAATCAATGTGACACAATACATTAATAAAAGAAAGAACAAGAACCATATGATCCTCTCAATAGATGCAGAAAAACCATTTGACAAAGTACAGCATCCTTTCTTGATCAAAACTCTTCAGAGTAGAGGGATAGAGGGTGCATACCTCAATATCATAAAAGCCATCTATGAAAAACCTACAGCGAATATCATTCTCAATGGGGAAAAACTGAGAGCTTTCCCCTTAAGGTCAGGAACACGGCAGGGATGCCCACTCTCACCACTGCTATTCAACATAGTACTAGACGTCCTAGCCACAGCAATCAGACAACAAAAAGAAATAAAAGGCATCCGAATCGGCAAAGAAGTCAAATTCTCACTCTTCACAGATGATATGATACTTTATGTGGAAAACCCAAAAGACTCCACCCCAAAACTGCTAGAACTCATACAGGAATTCAGTAGAGTGGCAGGATATAAAATCAATGCACAGAAATCAGTGGCCTTCCTATACACCAACAACAAGACAGAAGAAAGAGAAATTAAGGAGTCAATCCCATTTACAACTGCACCCAAAACCATAAGATACCTAGGAATGAATCTAACCAAAGAGGCAAAGGATCTGTACTCAGAAAACTACAAAATACTCATGAAAGAAATTGAGGAAGACACAAAGAAATGGAAAAACGTTCCATGCTCATGGATTGGAAGAACAAATATTGTGAAGATGTCA